TATACACAATATATACATATATATGTATATATATATACATATATATATATACAATGAAATATTAAGCCATAAAAAAATGAAATCTTGCTATCTGAGCATGAATGGACCTAGAGGGTATATTGTTAAGTGCAATAATTCAGAGAAAGACAAATACCATATGATCTCATTCATAAATGCAATTTAAGAAACAGAACAACAACAAAAAGAACCAGACTCTTAAATACAAAGAATAAACTGGTGGTTGCCAGAGGGGAGAAGGGGTGGGGTAAAGAATATTAATAGAACCCCGACCTTGATGAGCACTAAGTAACGTATAGAACCCTTAATCATTATATTGTACACCCAAAACAAATATAATACTGTATATTAATTATACTTGACTAAATAAAGTGTCCAGAGTTAAGCCCTCTGGTCATAAAAACTTGTTAAGCCAGCTGGTTTTCAAAGCCAAACGTTACAGGGACTCATCTTCCCAGTGCAGGCCCTCTGTGCCTGCGGTGGGGTCTGATTTTCTTGCCTAAGCTCGTGGTTCCCTCCTGTTTATGATTAGCCTTGCCGGGACAGTTCTCAACTGTCTCCCCTTCTAACCTTTTCGACGTGGCCTCTTCTCTACTGTGGAAAGTCTGTCCTGCCAGTGTTTGGGTCATTTTCATAGTTGCACTGATGTGGCTGTTACCTCAGTGTGTTTGTGGACGAGCTTAACTCAGGATCCTCCTACTCTGCCATCTTTCCAGCAACGAAAAACAATCATATGATTTTTATCCTCCTTTTGCTAAAGCGGTGTACCATGTTGACTGAGTTGAAAACATGCAACCAACCTTGCATCCCCAGAATAAATCCCACTGACTGTGGCAGATAATCCTTTTCATGTATTGTTGAATGTGGTTTGCTCATATTTTGTTGAGTTTTAGATGTATGTTCATCAGGACGGTTGGCCTGTAGTTTTTTTTTCATAGTGACTTTTGTCTGGTTTTGGTGTAATGCTGGCCTCGTAGAATATATTTGGAGGTTTTCCTTCCTCTTCTATTTTTGGGGATAGTTTGCAGAGAATAGGTATTAACTCTTCTTTAAATGTTTAGAATTTACCTGTGAATCCATCTGGTCCCCTGGCTTTAGTTTGTTAAGAGTTGTTTGATTACTGATTCAGCTTCTTTACTAGTAATTGGTCTGTTCAGATTTCCTGTTTTTTCCTGACTCAGTGTTGGAAACACCAGCTTTCTTTTGGAATAAGAATAACCTTCCTTTGAGATTGTTATGATCAAAACAGAAGGGGGATGGGGAGACTGTCAGAACAAAGGGTGAAAGAATTTGAAATGAGAGTAAATTGTCTAGTGGACGCTTCTGGGATTATCTTCACCTCTCGTGGTCTTTAAGCTATTTTATAACTGTAAGTTGTAGAAAACTGGTAATGCTGCAAATAATTTTTGTACTTAAAAATGCAAATTAGTTGTGTCCGGTGGAATGCAATGGATTATTGAGCCATTTTGTATTTATTTGTAAATTCATGTCATCAGCCCTTAATCTGCCTATAAATGTACAGTAATTATTTTTTAAACATTTTTAATGCTTTTTATTTTTATTTTTGAGAGACAGAGACAGCATGAGTGGGGGAGGAACAGAAAGAGAGGGAGACCCAGAATCCGAAGCAGGCTCCAGGCTCCGAGCTGCCAGCACAGAGCCCAACACGGGGCCGAACCCACAAACTGTGAGATCATCACCTGAGCTGAAGTCGGACGCCTAACCGACTGAGCCACCCAGGCACCCCTATTTTTTATTTATTTTTTTAATGTTTATTCATTTTTGAGAGAGAGACCAAGTGCGCGTGGCGTAGGGGCAGAGAGAGAGAGGGAGACACAGAACCCGATGTGGGGCTCAAACTCATGAACCCTGAGATCATGACCTGAGCCGAAGTTGGACCTTCAACTGACTGATCTACCAGGTGCCCCAATGCGGTACTTTTTTAAATTTAAGTATAATGTACATTAGCTTATATTTGTTTCCGGTGTACAATATAATGATTTAACAACTTTATACATTACTCAGGGCTCATCAAGGTAAGTGTACTCTTAATCCCCTTTATTTCACCCATCCCCCCGCCCACCTCCCTTCTGCTAACCACCAATTTGTATTCAAGAGTCTGGTCTTTTGTCTCTTTTTTTCTTTCATTTATTTTCTTAAATTTCACATATGAGGGGATTCATATGGTATTTGTCTTTCTGACCTATTTCACTTCGCATTCTACTCTCTAGGTACATCCACATTGCTGCAAATGGCAAGATTTCATTCCTTTTTATGGCTGAGCAACATTCCATGGTATACGTACACATCTTCATTATCCATGCATCTGTCAATAGACACTTGGGTTGCCTCCATATATTGGCTATTGTAAATAATGCTGCAATAAACATAGGAGTGTACATATCTTTTCAAATTAGCATTTTTATATTCTTTGGGTAAATACCTAGAGTGAAATTACTGGACCATATGGTAATTCGATATTTCATTTTGTGAGGAAATTCCATACTGTTTTTCCCAGTGGCTTGTGCAGTACTTTGAATGAGCTGTAACATTTTACTGGTTTCTTATTGAGTAAAATAAAATTTTTGACGTGTATTAAAAAAATGCAAGGTAGATGGGGTGCCTGGGTGGCTCAGTTAAGCGTCTGACTTCGGCTCAGGTCATGATCTCACAGTTCATGAGTTGGAGCCCCACGTCGGGCTCTGTACGGACAGCTCAGAGCCTGGAGCCTGCTTCGGATTCTGTGTCTCCCTCTCTCTCTGCCCCTCCCCTGCTCATGCTCCGTGTCTGTCTCTCAATAATAAATAAACATTAAAAAAAAGAATTTAAAAAAATGCAAGGTAGAGGACAGTGCTATGGTATGCGTACAGGACAGTGTTATGATATGCAACGATTTCTGTAAAACAAAAGTGGGGAATAACATGTATTCATGTTTGCGTATATATATGTACATAAAAACTTCTGGGAGAGTATGTATTCATATTTGATTATATATGCATAAAGAACATCTATTTGGAGTTGGAGAAATAAATGGGGGGGTGGATGAGACAGACTCTTCATGTCTTTTCTACCTTTTATATTGTGTAAATAGGGGTGCCTGGGTGGCTCAGTAGGTCAAGCATCTGACTCTTGATTTCGACTCAGGTCATGATCTCACGGTGCATGGGATTGAGCCCATCATGCTCTGCACTGACAGCATAAAGCCTACTTGAGATTATCTCTCTCCCTCTGTCTCTGCCCCTTCCGAACTCATGCTTGCTCTCTCTCCTTCAAAATAAACTTTAAAAGTTATATTGTGTAAATATGCTTCATTTTAAAAGTTTTAAATGTGTGGTAATCTAAGCTTAGAAAGCAAGTATTTCAATTCGTTTAGTTGTTCATTTCACTGATCTCCAGTTGGCATCAGTGGGAAGAGATTCTCCAGCTGGAATGGGGCCAGGGGAAGACAGGCAAAGAAATGATGATGGTCTACTACAAATTAATAATGTGGGTTTGGTGGAAACAAAGCAAACATAATATGACCATCAAGAATGATCTATCTATCTATATATATATATATGACTTTGTTAGAATGTTTTTTTGAGTTCTGTACCTTTACCTCTGTGCATATTTGTGACTTGCATGGATAAAAGGAAAGCACTAAAAATTGAAGGCTTGAGAAACCAGTCCTTTTAGGAACTACTAAAAGAAGGTCCTCTGAATTGAATACAGGGAGAGAAACCATTTGTCTGTATATGTATACTGAACATCACAGGAATGTTTAGGTATAGCCTTCGAGTATTTTCATGGAGACTGCCCTGGGAACTGGAGTTAAAGGACGGCAAGAGGAATTTAGGCTATTTATTATTAAGAAACAGTATTGGGTATCTGAAAAATGCAACCCATCAGCAGGAAAGGGTACAAGTCCCATTCCCTGATTTTTTTTTTCTAGAAAGGTGAAAGAGATAAAATTCTAAGAAGCTGAACTATATTTCTTTTCCCCCTTCTCCAGCCTTATAAATTGGGCTTTGGGAGACAAAGTTGGGCTTGAAGCTTTGTCTTTTAAAGACAGAGTTCATGCAAGACCCAAATGATTCAGTATTGACACATTGTGAGCTGGAATAATTTTCTTTCTAAACCATAATGTTAATTGGTAAGACATTTTGATCTTTGCTCTAACTGGCCTAATTTTATTTCATTCAGGTGTTGGAAAAGGCAATGGAAATGATCTAAAAGTACAAATAATATTGCACCGCAAAATCGTCTTTTTAAGTTCTGCTTCCAAAAACTGTTGGGTAAGAGCATGTAAACTGAAAATGCTGGCATTTGTTTTAATTCTCCACGTCAATCAGCATGTTTACCTCCCAGACCGTCACTCACCACAAAGAAAGACCATGCTGTTTTCTGGTTACCATCCAACTTGGCATCCCTGTGTTCAGATACAAGTCAGAGCACAAACTCCTTATTCAAAATAGTCTTTTCAGGGCATTTTCCAAACTATCTTTTCAGTTCAGTGTGTTGCTTTGCCTTTCCCTTTTACACAAATGCCAAGCATGTTCCCAGGAATTTATCAGAGTTTTCGATTCATGTATCTGGTCGTTTTTAGCTAAATAGTCTTCTTCTTGTCATTTTATAATATGGTACGGATTCTGAAATTATAAGCTTATAGGTGATTGGCATGCACACTAAAAAGATGGAGACATCAAGACTGTACCTCAAAAATATGATTCAGGGAATCTGGAATGGGGCTCAGGAATCTCTCGAGTTAGCAATGTCCCAAGTGATTCTATCTCACATGTCCTGTGGGTCTGTACCTTCACGAGTAACCCAAGTGGCTGGCTGGATGTAGCTCTCTGCCCAAAAGCAATGGGACCTGGTATGTCTAAGATCATCAACCTTTTCTGAAGCAATAAGAAACCTTCCTAGATCCAAGAAATATAAACTCTTAGAATTCTCTCGCAGGCTTGCCTCTATTCTATCACTTCTCCAGCACCACTCCTTCCCCTCTCCTCCACGGAAGGCCCTCACCCAGTCCTGATCCTTGGCTTTCTGTTCTTACCTCTGTACATACCCTACTCTTGGTTCTGCTCGTCCATTCCCCTGCCTTACATATTTTTTTCTTTCTTCCACTCCACACATGTTTATGAGCACCTACCGGGACCCACAACATGGACGGTCTCTGCCCCAACAATCCAACCATGTTGTCAGTCCACGTTTGTCAAATGAGCTTTTCCTCTGCTTGTGCAACTGACACCAGAGTTCTCTGACTCAGGCCTTAAAATTTAGCAGTATCTTTGATTCTCTCTTTGCTGTGCCTGCACATCCAGTCAGTCACTAATTCCTATTGATTGTACCCTTGGAATCTCTCTTCACTCTCTCCGTTTCTTTCTGTTCCTGTTGCCAACACCTCGTTTGTTCATGCCCAGGTTTCCACAATGGTCTCCCTACCTCTTCTTTCCCCTCATACAATACAGTATATAGAGTCCTGCAATATGCAGGTATTTCATTGCTCCAACAGTGAAAAGCTGTAAGTAGAGAAGACACATGGCATGCCTGTAGTCAAAGCCAGTTAATATCTTTGGCTCAGCATTATCTGTAAAGTAAAGATCACATACCAAGTGTTTTGAGGATTAGATAATATATGTGAAGTTTCTTTGTGAGCGATAAATTGCTAAGTGTTATATGTGATCATCATCAGGCCACTTTGTCACATAGGAAATGCCCCCCTCTCCATATTCTTCAACTTCACTCTTATTTCCCTGGCTCTTGAACCTTAGCCATAGCATACCTGAGACCTGAGCTTACTTCCTTCAGGTACTTGACCTGCAGACTCCATTCCAAGTAGATTGGGTGTCCTCTGGCCCTTGGAACACAACACTCTTAATTTCTGCTTCATGTTTTTTCTGGTCTTTCCTCCCCCTCTCCCACACCACCCTGCCTCCACTGGATTCTCTTTTCAGTGCTCCTCATTTATACAAATCCTTCCATGCCCAACTCTGTTTCTACCTTCTCTGTGAACCTTTCTCATTCTATGCTTCTTAACCTCTCCAAAGTCTTCATCATCTAGCTTGACACATAATTTATGCCATTCTGTTACTTCTTGTGCATGTAGCTCCCTGAAGCATGCCTTGAGTCTGCACCTTCTTTTCTATTTTGCACAGGTACATAGACTTTTCTTATTGTGGGGGCCACTATTACACAAGGGTAATCAATAACAAAGAAATACTTAGTATAGCTTCAAGAAAGTCCTTCATTCCAGAAACTTGGCCAATTCTTGGGTCACTCCATCCAGCAGTCAGCCATGGACAAGGTCCATGATCCCATCAGCTGACCCCTTTTTGATAAAACATGACCAATTATGTATTGCTTTTTGAATGTGAAGGCTAGCTTTAAAACTGAGCATGTTAGCATATCCCGGCATATGAAAATCAAGTGGCACACATTCAACAGTAATGTTTACTTGGTTAAACTCTAATGGAAATGGGAATGCTTTGTTCTTTACCACTGCCCTACAATAACCTCCAAACATGTTGGCCTTTTAAAAACGTAACAGTATTGCAACTTTACAGAAATGATGATTCACGTTTACATGTAGTGACTGGACTATGAGACCAAGCGTACTTGATAAATACAGGAAGCCTTGATCTGTGACCATGAACTTCACTGTTCTCTTACCAGCTGGTTTTAAGGTTGTGAATTCCATGTGTTCATTCACAGATACTTCACGATATTGAAACAGACAACGTAATAATTCATTTATCCAGCTGTCCACCTCTGTATGATGATGTGAAAGTACGGTTTCTCTCTTCCTCAGTGAGTAATCAAGAAACAGTGTTATTCTTGTCTGGTCTTTTGAATTATTCTGCTTTAGGATTTCCTTTCCTACAATTCCCAGCAAGAAATAGGAGATGTTAAGCCCTGGCCAGGGAGAGGGAGAAAAACAAGTCAGATCCGTAACAAAAATTTTAAAAAGAACCTGAACTGGTTTTTGCTCATTTTTTCTAAATTCTATACAGTTTGCATAGATTTTCAAATAAGAAACAAACCAAGGTATGTTTATTGCAGAGCAGTGATCACATTTTTCTTTTATATCTCTAAAACACATTGTTCCCCATAATTTGTAGTTTATGGTGTTGAAAGCATCTTTCAACAAACACCTTCTTTCCTTTAGGTAGCATTGTTTGTAAATTTATGTGTACGTTTAACTCTATGAATCTATACTGTGTAGAAAGCATCCTTGAACTAACATCTTCTTTCATTAATTAGAAGTGTTTGCAATAGAGAACGAACAGAGGGTTGCTGGAGGGGAGTTGAGTGGGGGGATGGGCTAAATGGGTGATGAACATTAAGGAGGGCACTTGTTGGGATGAGCACTGGGTGTTATTTAAGTGATGAGTCACTAAATTCTGCTGAAACCTATCTTACCATATATGTTAACTAACTGGAATTTAAATAAAAACTTGGGGGTAAAAGGGAGATTTTACTTTCCTTTGGATTGACATATAATTCATTTTAAATAGTATTTTTTTAAGTTTATTTTGAGATCAACAAATTCAGCATGAGTGAGGGAGGGGCAGAAAGAGAGAGAGAATCCAAGCAGGCTCTGCACAGACAGAACCCGGGGGCTTGAACCCATGAAACCATGAGATCATGACCTGAGCTGAAACCAAGAGTCAGATGCTTAACCAGCTGAGCCACCCAGGCACCTAGGAAAGTTTTTTTTTTAAAAAGTGTTTTTAACCCGATATTTGCCTTACATAAAATGAGAATGTTTGCCATAGTCATTACTCTGAATATCATGAGTGTATAATTTATATTGAGCAGTCATAAAGTGCACGAGTGTTATTCTATATGTAACAAATTTCTAAAGGTCAGTAGTTTCATTTTCCTATTAAAATTATCAAGCAGAACTGCCAACAAGTAACTATGTCGATCAATTTAAAATGTATATCCTGTGCCCTCCTTCATGCCCTGCTTGCTCTCTGTTGTGGGAGAATCTATTCAGTACTGAAAAAAGTATCTGTGTTGAAGCAAGTGACCCATACTGGATTTGAATAACGAAGCCAGTCTGAACTCTCTCTCAGTCGGTGGTCTCTGAGCAGAAGCACTGCTTCAGGCACCGGCCCAAGCAATGTTGGTCATTTTGTGATTTTCAAGAGCCAGGAGATGAAAACACTTTCAAAATGTTTAGGTATTTTTATCACCAATAATGACAATTATCAATGTAGCTGCTCCTTGTAGAAATGGATGCTCTCTTCGGGCATAAACTGGTATAGGTTTCTGTTTAGAACTAAACTATATTAGAAGACTATTGCTTAAAAGTACAGAAAAAAATACATTTCCTTACATTTTGATAGAAATAGCCATTTCTTAAAGCCTCCTCCTTTGTGTCATGAGTATAAAATTATACACTGTGAGTGCTATGTACTTAATGGCTACAACTGACAAATATAGAAATGAATGGAATTTTAATCCCTTTGGAATTAGCTTTTGGTATCAATTTTACTATGAAAAATAACTTTTTTTTTTTAATTTTAGGTTCTTCCTAAATACTATGACAACTGCCCATTTTTCTTCTGGTTCCATACATCTTTTATACAAAATAACAGGTATGGCTCGGATACAATCCAATAGAAACAGCTTAATCTTCAAGGTCTGTGTAAAGTGCAAAGGCAAACCTTTTGCTGATTGCCATATGCTCAATTTCCAGAAACCAAGAATCCTCAAATTCCCCAATTCTTCACTGCCTTTCTCCTCTTAATCTGGTTATGTAAAATATATGGCTATTCTTGGAAACTACCGTTGCATTATCCTCAAGGTCTGTGCCCTAGGACTGTTTCACAGAAGTTAAAACATGTTCTGGTCATATCTGGAGTATAGTAATAAAGCCCTCCCATGCAAGTTTAGTAGGAGTCTGCTCAGTACCCTGTGGGAGGTCCTCCCAATGTGTTAATTTACCTAGACCGACCACCCACTAAATTCTATGCTCCAAAGGAAGGCATCTTCTAGGGAAGCTTCAGCTAGTTTAAAGGTGATTGACACACTTAGGTCTAGAACAGAAGTTAGAAGACACAGTAAGCATTAATGAAGACCGCTTTAATAGTCTCCCATTTAAAAATGACTTTCTTGGCGTGACTGGGTGGCTCCAAGTCTTTTTTTTTTTTTTTTTAATTTTTTTTTCAACGTTTTTATTTATTTTTGGGACAGAGAGAGACAGAGCATGAACGGGGGAGGGACAGAGAGAGAGAGAGACACAGAATCGGAAACAGGCTCCAGGCTCCGAGCCATCAGCCCAGAGCCTGACGCGGGGCTCGAACTCACAGACCGCGAGATCGTGACCTGGCTGAAGTCGGACGCTTAACCGACTGCGCCACCCAGGCGCCCCTCCAAGTCTTGACTTTGGCTCAGGTCATGATCTCACATTTGTGAGTTCAAACCCCGCATTGGGCTCTGTGCTGTCTGCTTGGGATTCTCTCTCTGCCCCTCCCCTGTTCATGCTCTCTCTCAAAAAGAAAAGAAAAAAAAAAAACTTTCCCAGTTTAGTTATTAGAAAATCATTTTTAAGCTTATTTTTTAAAAAGTATATTGAGTGGGGGAGGGGCACAGAGAGGGGGAGACAGAGTCCCAAGCAGGATCCGCACCGTCAGCTCGGACCCCAAAGTGGGGCTTGACCCAAGACCCAGGAGATCACGACCTGAGCCGAAACCAAGAGTCAGAAGCTTAACCAGCTGAGCCACCCAGGCACCTAGGAAAGTTTTTTTAAAAAAGTAATTATTGACTGAAGATTATTCCAAGAAAACTTCTACTTGTCTGGAAGCTCATTCCTGAGTCTAGACATTCTCTAGAATTCTAGTCCTCTAGTACTTTAAGGAGTATTTGTTCTTCAGCGCTGAAAATTTGAGGTGTATTGTTATCATCATACCGTAATCATCATCCAATACAAAAAGGGAAAAATATTCCAGAACCGGAGTTTTGAGGTAGCTGTGACTGTATGTGGCATGAATCGACAGTTCCCATTACATATAATCCCACCCTTTTCTTCAAATCTGACCACCTCCTCTCACACCTCGAGTCCAGTAAAGGCAACAGTAAGTTGAGTATCTGGTCTACATCCTTCTGATGCACCTATTTAATGGATAGAGTGAACTTTGGATTTGATGGGGGAATTTTTACCAATTTTTCCCTGGGTGTATACAAACAATAAACTTTGACTCCCAACATGAGCCAAGCCCCTCAGTCGAGATCTGGGTGAAACTTCATTGGGTGTTACTCTTCCAAAGTGGTTCTTGCCACGGGGCACTATTTTTTCCTTTAAAACACATTGATCATACTAGAGAGGCAATGAGTTAGAAACCTATAAAAGTGAGGAGAGAAGTGATCTAATTTTCCCTACTGCCTGGTATAGCTGTTTTATTAGCTGCAAGGTGGTTAACCGGTCAAAAATGCCTCTGTCCTCATTTAAAAGACTCGGTGTTTTATTACTTGGTTTTAATACACACCTCGTCTCTCTGGAGGATTTCACATGGCAATTTATTAATGTCAAATGTCCTTAATCCTATAAAAGGCAATGGGAAAAGAATCGGCGATGTGTAATTACTGATGATTAAGATTCGGTTGGCTGCGGAGAGGTGCGGGGAGCTGGCTAGAGGGGGGCGGACGGAGGCTGCGACTAACCGTGGCAGGTGGGTCTCCTTTTTTACCCTTCTGTGCTTGCAACGATGTTTCTGCTTTTCTAGGCTTTATCTTTCAAGAAAGGAATTGGATAATCCCCATAAACCAAAAACATGGAAAATTTACCGTCCAGAGTTTGCAGTCGAGGCATTTTTTGATGAGGTCGTAGCTGGTACCTAATTAAGCGTAGTTTCCTTTCTTGCACAGAATCATGTTCTTCACAAGCCCTGCCACATATTTGTAGCTTCTAAACCTCCTTCCTTGCTGGTATCCTTATATTTACATTCATGTACATATGTTTTTGCCAAACCTATTAAATACATACAAAGTAAAATCTCAAGGGTGCTTCTTACTTTCTGAAGGAGTTAGGTCATGTTTGCGAGAACTAACGTTCTTACGTACTATGTTCCAAATTATCACTTGGAAGAACCTTTAAATAACAAACCTTAAAATATTTAAGAATTAGGATTCCTCCCAATAATCTGAGTTTACTTACCGAAAATACAAGTATTCCCTGCCTTGTTTTACATTTTAATCTCAGATCACAAAGGTCACTTCTGTTTTCTTCCTCTGCTTGATTTATAAACTACTTAACAAACATCAGATTGGCACAAAGACTTGCTTGTTTTCAACCCAGAAAACTGTGCACACGAGCAGACCCACCAGTGCATGGGCTAATTACACACGCAGACTTCGGGGAGGGCACAGGAATCTCGGTAAACACAAGCAGCGGTTACTGAATATTCTATTTATTTTTGCACCTTCACGAGTGAAGTCAAAGGAAATGTTTGCCTAGAGAGATCTAGATTCTTTTAAAGTCCACCTCCTTCTTCACCAACCCTGCTCACAGCCAAGTTCACTTCAGTTTAGGGAACTCTGGGAAGGAAGGTCAGCTTTGCATTGTTAAGTATCGGTTAGTCCTGTGGCCCCAGGGAATTGTTTTCTCTTACTATTTTATTCCAAGTACCTTCCCCGTCATTGCACCTTGACTGTCCTTATTTATGAACATGGCATGAAAGGTTCACTTTTTCCCTCCAGTCAGCCCACAAGGGGTCCCAGCTGCCAGTGCAGCAACCTACCTGAAGGCTCCTTTTGGAGGAAAAGTCTTTCAAGTTCTCAACGTGTTAGGACTACATTACTTCCTGTACTTTGTGATAGGAATGTGTTGCAGCAGAACAGCTGGTACTGTTTCCTTTACATTTTTTTAATGTTTAATTTTGAGAGAGAGAGCAAGACAGTGCAAGGGGGGAGGGGCAGAGAAAGGAGACACAGAATCTGAAGCAGGCTCCAGGCTCTGAGATGTCAGCACAGGGCTCAAACTCACAAATGGCCAGGTTATGACCTGAGCTGAAGTCAGATGCTTAACCAGCTGAGCCACTCAGATGCCCCTGTACTGTATCCTTTAAAACCCATGCAGCAGTGAGCTACAGCGGGCAGATCAGGTGGCAGGCTTAGGTCAGTGGGAAAATACGGAGCTGGCCCTTCTCAATACTGGCAAGAAGGAAGGAAGGAAACCCCCATTAAGTCTCTTGTTTTTTGAAATATCATAGCCGGGGTTTCTCTTCTCTAACCCTCTAAGGTGCATCAAGATTCCTGGCCCTTATGAGGTGCCACACTATCGTGCTTTTGCTCCTATAAAGAGATTTTATGGGAAGTTTCCACCTTAGAACCCAATGTAAATACTTCCTTCGAACAACTCGAAAGACTTACATCATAATACATCAGAACGATACCAGTTTTCTGAAATAGAATTTACTACCCAGAATAGAATTATCCAAAACTGAATAGCAAGTTTCACTATTTTTTAGAAATAGAACAGCATCCTGCCCCATCAGAAACATCACAGGTACCACCTGGCAGAGGGAGATTAATGCTAGCGGGCCAAGTTTCACAACTGCAGTATAATAAAGAACACATTTTTGTCAATTTACTTACAGTGAAATTATTTTACATCAGGAATGATGCTGACCAAAAAAAAAAAAAAAAAAAAAAAGAAAAAACGCTCATTGCAATGAAGCCACCACCTTGAAACCTTACTATACTCTTAAGTAGTACTGACAGTTGGTTCTTAGCATGTAAAATACTTAAAACAACTCATGTACTCAAATTTTAGGTAAATAATTTAATGATAGAACACCAGAATTGCTTTAAACACACAACTTCAACTTACTATTTTTGGAGTACAGATCTGAAATGGTACAAATTGGATTCAAATACTGAACCATGAATTAAGCAAATAGAATGGAAAAAAAAAATTCCCCTGATTTAGGGTTCATTCCTTACTCTTTTCCTTGCCTCAGACTGCTACTATTGCAGATGTTTAATTGAATCTTAAAAGGACAACATATGAGAAGGTCCCCTGCCAACAGGCCTAACTCAGATGGGCTCACAGATTCTCAAGTAGCTCACTTCCTGCTGGGAGCCAGCCCCATTTTCTATTTTGCTTCGGTCCAGGCCTGTTCAGATGAAGCACCACTCAGTAGCTACTGACCGCTTAAGGTATGGAGAGAAAAGGCAGAAAAATGATTTTCTTTCAAAGAAAACGCAGGTGGCTGACCAGCCATTGCTCCAGAGTCCATCAGGCACAACACTGAGCACCCCTCCCCAAATGTCCACAGCAGCCCCCATGGGTCAGCATGTCACTTCCCTGACCCTCCTGCTTTGGGCATATCAGAAGCTTTGCAGAACACAAAGCTTAAGGAAACCAGAGGTTTCACACAAGGCTTTCATTGTGCCAACAATGACAGAAGCACACGGGACAGACACAGGTCAGCCTGCTTAAAAACACTTGTTACCGAGAGAGTCCTTGCTGGTCTTGGAGCAGCACGGAATGATGGGGCTTGCCTAAGTGGTGACAAGAAGGATCCTCTTAGACCAGGTGACCTGAGCTTCTGTGGTTGTTGTGAGTGCATACATATGGCAGAACTTACTCGGCTTGTTTCCTTGCTTTATAAAGTCACCCCCTATATATAATCATCATGAGGATCCACTGACCGCTGGTACCAAATGTAAAAGGCTCCAACTCCGTAAGAAACATGGCAAGCAGTTACGGATCCCAAGATAAACTTCAGAAAGGGCCAGCCCCGACATCACTCACTGTGGAGGACACGCACTATGTTGTGTCCAGTTCCATCGGAGAGAGGACTTTGCCCACGAGCACCATCACTCAGTCACCAGCCAGGGAAAAGGGCTTCTCTTGGCTTTGGCACTCTGCTCCCTGGAAGGGTTTCTGATCGGTGGAGGCAATGAGTGAGTGTTCAAAAGTGGATCAACAGCCCATAGGTGGTCCAAAGGAATACTCTGGAATCCTACCCAGGCCAGGACCCAGAGACAGAAGCTAAGGGCTGCTGTCAGTCATTGGTCTTCACAAAGCAAAGCAGCACAGTCCCCTCCCCTCAGCCCCTTCCTCAACCTAAAGCCCAGCAGAAGGGAAGTTCTTTGGGAGGGGAGAAGGGAGGTCGGCACAGGTAAGGCTACGCCGCTCTAGGCCTAGATCCCACCTAGAATGTGGCCCCATCTAGAAAACGAATGGCACTATTTTAACAGAACATCCTGGGAAATTCCAAGATGCTTACTCTAAACTTGTATCAGTAACACGGAAGCCACTCCAGTATGCAAGTGTGCTCTCCTCTACCAGTTCTAGGTTGATATTTTAGTTTTCAAGCACCACAGGAAAACTTTTTAAAATTTTAGCCGCTTAGTGTAGTGCATGTGCTAAGCAGATTTTAAAAGAGACCCTACATCTACAATGAGTCAAGTATGCGTTTATAGCCATTTCATGAACATGGTTACTTCTGGGTTTTTCTGGTGAGATCTGAGACTAAACATGGAACCAGCCTTTCTTTTTTAACAACATGCAACCATCCAAACTGCATGGACACACACAGGTTTATGCAAAAGCCCTGACAGAACTATATTTAGCCTTTCAGATTGGACATAGGGGCCAGCGGCTCACCCTAAATGCCCCACCGAGGACAAGAGCAGCAACTTTTCTATTCAATTACAGGCAAAAATTATAGGATATAAAATAGAGGCTCTTCCATAAAGTTTAAGATTTAGGGTAGGATAAGGGAAGACCAAAAAATAAAATTCTTATGAAACCAAAGTAATTCTACATTGGTCTTGTACTCCACGAAACCCTGAGATGAACTGTCGTCCTCAAACGCCGGTACTTGGATCTAGGTTCACCAGGACACTTCAGTATGCTTCAAACTGGCTCATCATCAACTTCCTGCTGTACTCGTAGGCCAAAAATAGCGCCCCATTGGCAGGGAATGCTCGAATCATAGTAGGTTTCAGTCCAGAATATAAGGCCGTTATTCCTAGAAGACAAAAAGTGACCCAGGTCTGAGACATCACGTGAAACTACAGAGCACAGGGCTGTGTACCTACAAATCCAGACAACGCGCTACAAACCAGTAGGTGATGGAAGAACTTCCTTCCAGGTTTCCCTGGACTAACAGGAACGAAACGGACTAATGGAAACAAGGACAAGCGTCAGGCCTCCCAGCAAAGCTGGCGGATGCTCAGGTAACACACACTAATCTCATGCCTGGTTCATCCCCAGGAAATGGATCAGGCAGAGCGGAGGCCTCACCTGGCAGCCCAGGGCCCCCGGGGGGCAGGGACCATAAGGCATCGGGCGAAGAGCACGGGCGCTTAAGTCCGAGTCCCGTGTCGACTGCTGGCACTGCCCAAGGTGGCTATGCAGATCCAGGTGGGTAAGGGAGGTGGGAGGACTCTGTGAAACTGTGAAGTGTTCTGCAGCTTTGGGACACGAACCAAACTGTTGCCACACACCGTAACTGTGCTCTCGCTCAAAATCAAGACAGAAGGGCACCTGGGTGGCTCAGTCGGTTAAGCGTCCAACTCAGTTTTGGCTGAGGTCATGATCCCATCATTTGTGGAACTGAGCCCTGCGTCTGGCTCTGAGCTGACCGTTTAGAGCCTGCTTGGGATTCTCTCTCTCTCTCTCTGGCCCTCCCCGACTCATGTTCTCATTCTCTCTCCCTCCTCCCCTGCCCCCACCCCCAAAAATAAACATTAAAAAAAAAAAAAATCAAGGGCCGCCTGGGTGGCTCAGTCTGTTAACTGTCTGACTTCAGCTCAGGTCATGAACTCACGGTTCGTGAGTTCGAGCCCCGCGTCGGGCTCTGTGCTGACAGCTCAGAGCCTGGAGCCCGCTTCAGATTCTGTGTCTCCCGCTCTCTCTGCCCCT